TCACTGCTGTTGTTTAACATAGTGTTGGAAGTGCTAGCATCAGCAATCAGACAACAAAAGGAAATCAAAGGCATCAAAATTGGCAAAGATGAAGTCAAGCTTCCACTTTTTGCAGATGACATGATATTATACGTGGAAAACCCAACAGACTCCACCAAAAGTCTGCTAGAACTGATCCATGAATTCAGCAAAGTTGCAGGATACAAAAATCAATGTACAGAAATCAGTTGCATTCTTATACACTAATAATGAAGCAACAGAAAGACAAATAAAGAAACTGATCCCATTCACAATTGCACCAAGAAGCATAAAATAGCTAGGAATAAATCTAACTAAAGATGTACAAGATCTGTATGCTGAAAACTATAGAAAGCTTATGAAGGAAACTGAAGAAGATATAAAGAAATGGAAAAACATTCCATGCTCATGGATTGGAAGAATATTGTTAAAATATCAATACTACCCAAAGTTATCTACACATTGAATGCAATCCCAATCAAAATTGCACCAGCATTCTTCTCGAAGCTAGAACAAGCAATCCTAAAATTCATATGGAACCACAAAAGGCCCCCAATAGCCAAAGTAATTTTGAAGAAGAAGACCAAAGCAGGAGGCATCATAATCCCAGACTTTAGCCTCTACTACAAAGCTGTAATCATCAAGACAGCATGGTATTGGCACAAAAACAGACACATAGACCAATGGAATAGAATAGAAACCCCAGAACTAGACCCACAAAAGTATGGCCAGCTAATCTTTGACAAAGCAGTAAAGAATATCCAATGGAAAAAAGACAGTCTCTTTAACAAATGGTGCTGGGAGAACTGGACAGCAACATGCAGAAGGTTGAAACTAGACCACTTTCTCACACCATTCACAAAAATAAACTCAAAATGGATAAAGGACCTGAATGTGAGACAGGAAACCATCAAAACCCTAGAGGAGAAAGCAGGGAAAGACCTCTCTGACCTCAGCCGCAGCAATTTCTTACTTGATACATCCCCAAAGGCAAGGGAATTAAAAGCAAAAATGAACTATTGGGACCTCAGGAAGATAAAAAGCTTCTGCACAGCAAAGGAAACAATCAACAAAACTTAAAGGCAACCAAAGGAATGGGAAAAGATATTTGCAAATGACATATCAGACAAAGGGCTAGTAACCAAAATGTATAAAGAGCTCACCAAACTCCACACCCAAAAAACAAATAATCCAATGAAGACATGGGCAGAAAACATGAATAGACACTTCTCTAAAGAAGACATCTAGATGGCCAACAGGCACATGAAAAGATGCTCAACATCGCTCATCAGGGAAATACATATCAAAACCACACTCAGATATCACCTCACGCCAGTCAGTGGCCAAAATGAACAAATCAGGAGACTATAGATGCTGGGGAGGATGTGGAGAAACGGGAACCCTCTTGCACTGTTGGTGGGAATGCAAACTGGTGCAGCCACTCTGGAAAACAGTGTGGAGCTTCCTCAAAAAATTAAAAATAGAGCTACCCTATGACCCAGCAATAGCATTGCTAGAATTTACCCAAGGGATACAGGAGTACTGATGCATAGGGGCACTTGTACCCCAATGTTTATAGCAGCACTCTCAACAATAGCCAAATTGTGGAAAGAGCCTAAATGTCCATTAACTGATGAATGGATAAAGAAATTGTGGTTTATATACACAATGGAGTACCACGTGGCAATGAGAAATAATGAAATATGGCCCTTTGTAGCAATGTGGATGGAACTTGAGTGTTCTGCTAAGTGTAATAAGTCACAGAGACAAAGACAGATACCATGTTTTCACTCTCATGTGGATCCCGAGAAACTTAACAGAAGACCATGGGGGAGGGGAAGGAAAAAAAAAAAAAAGAGGGAGTGGGAGAGAGCCAAAGCATAAGAGACTCTTTAAAACTGAGAACAAACTGAGGGTTGATGGGGGGTGGAAGGGAGGGAGGGTGAGTGATGGGTAATGAAGAGGGCATCTTTTGGGATGAGCACTGGGTGTTGTATGGAAACCAATTTGACAATAAATTTCATATATTAAAAAAAATAAAAATAAAACATAAAAACCTAAAAAAATAATTCTAAATGTAAAGCATATTCATTAAAGAGCATTTGTAAAATGCTGAAAGAAGAAAAAAGGAACTCAATTTCTTTACCCATTAGCCTTATTGTAAGGGTTCTAAAGCAGCTTAAATGATTGACAGATTCTGAAGAAAGCAGCTGTTAGAATGTCACTGGTCTGGACCTCTTTTTTATTTCCAACAGTAAGGTCATTAATTATTTTCCTCTCTCTCTCTACATGTATTTTTCTATAGAGTCCAAAGAAGTTCAGCAGGTGTCAGTGTTCTGAACACTGCACTGGGTACACGTTTGTACTGTACGTAACCCTCTTCTCTACATCTATCTTAGGAGACGCACTGTATAATCTAAAAAAATATGTATAGTTCTTCATTGCTTAAGCTGTCAAGGACAAAATGCCAACATTTTGTTTTTTGTTTTTTTTTAATGTTTGTTTATTTTTGAGAGAGAGACAGAGAGAGCACAAGTTGGGGAGGGGCAGAGAGAGAGGGAAAGAAAGAATCCAGAAGCAGGCTCCAGGCTCTGAGCTGTCAGCACAGAGCCTGATGCGAAGCTTGAACTCCTGAACCTTGAGATAGATCATGACCTGAGCTAAAGTCGTATACTTAACTAAATGAGCCACCCAGGTGCCCCAAAATGCAAACACTTTGATTTAGCATTAAAAAAACACTTGAATTGACAAAATCTGGTCCCACCCATCCTTTCTAGATTCACTATCTTCCATTCCAAATTACAGTTAAACAGCTTGTTTTTTACATTTATTTATTTTGAGAGAGAGAGAGAGAGAGAGAGAGAGAGAGAGAGAGAGAATCCCAAGCAGGCTTGACGCTGTCAGTGGAGCCCAGTGTGGGACCCAAACCCATGAACTGTGAGATCATGACCTGTGCTGAGATCAAGAGTCAGACATTTAACCGAATGAGCCACCCAGTTACCCCAAACAGCTTGTTTTGAAGCTGCTCACACTGGTTTGAGACTCAGAGGGCCAGCTCCCTGAGGCTGGGCCTTAGACACTCCTAGTTCTGCAGCATCTAGGCTTATCCAAGCACCTCTCACTCTGAGACAATCTAATCAAGAGTGAAGCTTCAAGGGGCGCCTGGGTGGCTCAGTCGGTTGAGCATCCAACTTTGGCTCAGGTCATGATCTCACAGTCCATGGGTTCAAGCCCTGCGTCGGGCTCTGTGCTGACAGCTCAGAGCCTGGAGCCTGCTTCAGATTCTGTGTCTCCCTCTTTCTCTGCCCCTCCCCGCCCCCCCCCCCCCCCCCCCAAAGCTGTCTCTCTCAAAAAAAAACATCAAAAAATTTTTTTAAATAAAAAAAAAAAAAAAGAGTGAAGCTTCAAAATTCTAATGGGAGCGGTTCCAATTTCAGGTAAGATGAATTCAGCACACTCCACCCTGTGTCGCCCACTGAATCCATCTATAAAGCATAGATCAGCTATTTGAAGACTTAAAAAATAAGTAGTAGCAGGCAAATTATGGAAGACCAGAATTCAAAGTATCACTGAACCAATGCTAAGTTTACATTCTGGATTTTTATCCTGGACATTGTGGATGTTATTTTGTATATACTCTGAATTGGTTTACTCCTCATGAAAAAAACATTTAAGAAGGCAATTAACTTGTTTAGACTGGCATTACGGGCTTTGTCTCATTTTTTCTGAGTGGCCATTCAAATCTCAGTTCATTTCTTTAAGCCTCTGAGTTTGTCTTGTGCATGTGGAGTCAGAGCCTAGCTCAACACTTCATGTATAGAAGTAGAAGCATCCTTTTTATGGTTCTCTCCCTTTCAAAATTCCCCCTCACTATCCTGGTATGGCTGTTAATTGCCTTTTTCCTCTGGTTCCTGCAGCCAGAAAAATGATGGCAGGCTTTCTTAAAATTTTTAAAAAAAATTTTTAACATGTATTCATTTTTGAGAGAGAGACAGAGCATGAGCAGGGTTGGGGCAGAGAGAGAAGACACAGAATCTGAAGTAGGCACCAGGCTCTGAGCTGTCCCCACAGAGCCCGACATGAGGATCGAACTCAGGAGCCATGGGACCATGACCTGAGCTGAAGTCAGACACTTAACTGAGCCAGCCAGGCGCCCAGCAGGCTTTCTGTTACAGTTTTAACTGCTCATGCACTTTTTGACAGTGGCCCATTTTCAGGGCAAACACACACACACACACACACACACACTAACCCATGTGCTAGTTGCTTCTTCAAAGTTTGACTCCCTTCCACAAGGGTCTGCTTTTATTTACTCTTCAGGATCCTCACACAGTGAATTTTATATTATTCCCAGAATTTCTAGTTATCAGGATGAGAGTTGGTTTATAGAAATCTTATATCATCATAACTATTTTGTTTGAAACATAAAAATGTGTTGCCCATGTAAAAAATTACACTAAGATAATCTGGCAATGGTCAGCTTCTTAAGCTGGGTAGTGTTTACATGAACTTGTGTTTTGTAATTACTTCAGATGTTTTATATTGCTTTCTGTATGCATAATACACTTCACAATTTTCTAAAAATGAGGTACTTCAGCACTTCATAACCAAAACTTTAGCGCCTCACTTAACATTTACCCTGTGGATGATAGTGTTATGAAAATAGCATATTTGTAGTATTTCAATAATATCTGAATAGATAAGACTTAATAAAAAGATAATACCTTCCACTCTAAAAGTGAATACATCCTAAGAAAATAAAGTATTATATGGGCACGGATAACTTAAGTCTGTTTTAAAGTGGGTCAAACAGGCAGGCAGGCAATCCCCTGCAGTACTGCAATGTAGGGAAGCTCACACTTTTGAACAGGGATCTTGGTTCAAGTCCTGACTCTACCTCTTACTAGATGTGTGACATTGGGTGAGTTACTTCATCTTTATGAGCTTGATTCTTCATTGTAAAAATGGAGAATAGTACCTACCTCTCAGGATACTGGGTGAAGGAAGCAATGATTGTAAAGCATTCAGCACACAGTGCTAGGTACCTATAAAATGTTCAATGAAAGTTAGCTATTATTAGTATTGACAGTAATATTTTCTTCTGAACCCCACAGCATTTCTATGACCTATTTACTTAATTACTAATCTTCACTTGGTGTATTTCCACAAAAACAATTTGAGATCATGTTCTTTCACTGCCAGGAAATGAATAATTTTCGAGTTTAAAATTCAACATAATACTAAAAAGACAAGTTTTAGTTGAATGCACCCTCTAGTGGTGTACATTACATGCAAGTACCTGGCTTCTACAAAAGAAAACCTCTTTATGAAATGTCACTAGGTTGGTGCTTAGACCTTGAAGCCAGCTGGTTGAGAACATGGTATGAAGAGGATGATCATACAACTTTTAGGAAGCTCCCTCTCTTCAAGAGCTGGAGGAATTTTTTACCTTTTAAAACTTCCCCCACTGTAAGACCTAGGATATTTCTGATATTCACCATACCAAATCCTAGTATCCCTACAACATGGACTTTAATCTTTCCTCCTAAAGAAAACCAGGTCACTTTCGACTTTGCTGTAACAAGCATTGAAACGTACTTACTCTTCACTTAGTTAACAAAAACGTACTGAGCACCAACTATATATACTAGGCAGTGGGAAGACAATAAACAACTTATTCACAATTAATTATGTAATTACTAATTTGAAGCACTGTAAACAAAGATTGCCATGAGCTTACAATAGGGGATTGGTCTAATGGCGGGGGGGGGGGGGGGGTAAGGGAGGGGTACAGGAAAGCTTACTTAAGAATCTAATGTGTAAAGCCCTGAAGATGAAATACTTAACTAGAAGAAAAGAAGCACCATACAAAGAGAGCAGCATATGTAAAGGCCTGGAGATAGCAAGGTACATGCAGCATTTGAGAAACTGAGAAACTGGTCAAAGAAGAGGAAATTGCGCAGGCTGAGGATAGAGAAGTAGTCAAGGATTTAATACCAAGTTAAGGTTGGAGTTCATCTTAAGAACAACAGGAAACTATTAAAGGATTTAAAGCAGAAGAATAACAATCTGATTTACATCTTTAAAAGTTCACTTGGCTAAGGCATGGAAAGGGATTCCAAGAAGTGGTGAAAAAAGTGGATGCCCAGACCAGCTACCAGTAATCCAGGTGAGATGAGATGAAGCCTGGCACAAAGTCAGTGGCAGTGGAGATAAAGTGGACAGACACTTAAGGGGTAAAATGGATTGATCACGATGCTGGGCATCAAAGTGGCAGACCCAGTGAACTGAGTGGGTGTAATAATGCCATCTTTCCCACAAAGTACAACTTGTGGTGGTAGCTGTTTGGGAGAGGTTGTTGAGACAATGAATTAAAAGGCTAGGGTTTTCCTCTTAAAGAGAACTTGTCTGACTACAAACTAGAATTATTTCCACTGAACTAGCAGTGGCAGGACAATTAGTCACCGACTTCCACCAACTAGGGCCCTAAACGTCTCTTTTATATTTCTATCACAGTGACCCACTACCACTATGCTAAGACTTTACCTAACATCTGCCTGGAAAGCCCTTAACTCACTCCCGCCCCAAATTTCACCAGATTTTTGCTTTTCAAAGTACAGTTCAAAGGTCACCTTCTCAAGGAAGTCTTCCCAGTGTTTTCCACCGCCTCCCCCCAATCCTTCCGTGCATCTCTTCCAACTAGTTGTGGGTTCCAGACACACTTCATCTCTGTGTCCTCGTTGGGCAGCGCTGCACCTTTCAAACGCTAGACGCTCCACAAATATTTACTCATATTCATTTACCCGCCCGGGAAGAGACCCTAGCACCTGCCTTCAGGACCAGCTTGGCCCGCCGGAAGTGACGCGCTCTCAGCGACAACGTATTTCCGGTCCCCAGTGCCGACTCGGTCGCAGGGGGACAGACTTCTCTGGTTCGCTAACTCGGCTGTCCTGGAGGATTCATGCGCGGTAAGAATTTGTGCACGGCTGAGCGAGATAGGACCCCGGGACCGCCAGATGCCGTGGAGTCCTCCCGTTCGTTCCCAGGGACGTGATGGGAAGGCACAGCGACTGACTGCTAGGCCCCCAACAGCCCTCAGCGCCAGATGGGTTTGGAATGCCGAGCTGCGCGGCCCGCTGAGGGCGCGGGCGCAGGGGTCGGCCTCAGCTGTGGGGTGCTCACTGCCTGAGCTGGCGCGTCTAGCCCCACTGGGGCCCCCGCCGTGGGAGTGGGTCCCGCCGCCTCAGCCTTCATACCCAAAGCTTCCCCCTTCACGGGTACTCAGGGTGATGCTAGTCCACCTCCTGAATAGCTCCAGCCCCTACTGTGATAGTCGCAGGCTCTGCAATGATGAGTGTGCGCGCGTGGCATGTAGAGTAGCGTGCAACGTCTGACCTATTCACTGATCCCACCCTTCGGCTTGTGTTGCGGATGTTACTGAGGACGAGAGCTGAAGTTTTAACTCTGTTTGGTACACGGGGTGCCGCCCTAAAAGGGGCGCGGCTTAATTGAAAATGATTTGAAACCGCTGGGCTGGAAGCAGTTTATTCTGTAATTAGAAGACCAGCATTATCACGTGACCGCAAACACTTACTTGTCAGTCTATTGGGAAGACTTGTAATGACAAACTTTGCGTCAAGGACAGGATTTCTGTATACTTAATTTGCTATGCAAATTGATTGCTTTGAACTGACAGACTAAGCAATAGTAGAGATGGGGAGAAAGTAGACCTGGGACTTACAGAGGGGAAACAGCCAGGAAACCTTCAGAATTGGGAAGGTAACTTCATTCACTTGTATTACTATGTGATACATAATATTTTACAAAGTAATTTTTTTCTTGAATTGTTTTGCAGTTTTAAGCATTTATATACCTGTGTTTCTTTATCTGATGTGGTAGCTTCTCTGGTAAGGGCTAGATTTACTTCATAGGCATATCTATGCAGCATGTTACAGAATTAAATATACACGAAGTAAAAAGTTTTAATAATTAAAGCGTCAACATATAGGCATAATGTGATACACTATGTATATTTAGTGGGTTTTTTTTTAAATGGTTATTAACCAGCCATGCTTGTCTTAAAGTTTGATAAGGTAACTTTGATGAAATCATGACCAGGTGGGCACGAGTTACTACCACACGTAGCAAGAGACCTTTGGCTGCAACATCATGGGAGGACATGAAGAAGGGGTCCCTTGAGGGAGAAGGCCAAAACCTACCAAAGAGTAAACAACTTGAAGCCAATAGGCTCTCTGCTAAAAATGATACGCCTCAAGCAAAACACAAAAAGAACAAAAAGAAAAAGGAGTACTTAAATGAAGATGTAAATGGATTCCTGGAATACTTAAGGCAAAACCCACAGATGGTTCATAATGGAGAGAGGATAGCAACAGACAATCAGGAGGTAAGGGAAGAAATTGCAGTTGCTTTAAAGAAAGATAGTCGCCGGGAAGGAAGAAGACTAAAAAGACAAGCAGCAAAGAAAAATGCAATGGTAAGATCATTGCTTCCACCAAACGGTTACTTTATGTAAGTCAAAACTATTATTCATACATTCACACACACACGTATGTGTGTGTATGTGTATGTATGTGTGTGTATGTATGTATATATATATATATATATGCCAGAGTATGATTGCTCTTGTGTACTAGATTTGTAAAGCATCTTTTTTTAAGTTTAAGAGAAAGCATGTGTGCGTGCTCAAGGGGACAGGGACAGAGGAGAGAGAGAGAGGAGAGAGAATCCCAAGCAGGTTTTGCACTGTTAGCACAGAGCCTGACCAGGGTTCAGTCCCATGAATCATGAGATGATGACCTGAGCCAAAATCAAGAGTTGGACGCTTAACTGACTGATCCACCCAGGCGCCCCCTTTTTTTTTTTTTCTTAATGTTTATTTATTCATTTTGAGAGAGAGAATGTGAGGCGGGAGAGGGGCAGAGAGAGGATAGAGAATCCCAAGCAGGCTCCTTGCTATTATAGCGGAGCCCTACACAGGGCTCAGTCTCATGAACTGAGAAATCATGACCTGAGCCAAAATCAAGAGGCAGACACACAACCTTCTGAGCCACCCTGGTGCCCCACAAATGACAAATGTTTTAAAGATATTTTTTATAACAAGCATTGATAAAGCCACTGTAGATTTGCAACATGGAAACTCATATTTTGTTTTCTCAGGTATGTTTCCATTGTAGAAAACCTGGCCATGGAATTGCAGATTGCCCAGCCGCCCTTGAGAATCAGGATATGGGCACTGGAATATGTTACCGGTGTGGGTCCACAGAGCATGAAATAACCAAGTGCAAAGCCAAAGTAGACCCAGCTCTTGGTACGTTTTCTATCGGTTTTTGATTTGGTTAATGTCAGAAGTGGCCAATACGTAACCAACTGGGTTTTTTTTCTGGACAGAATTTATCATGAGTATGCCACTTAATATTTTGAAATCAAGACTGAATTCTAAGTTGTATTAAAAATAGGGGTTTTCAGAGTATTTAAAATAATATGAATTACATGACTTGTTCTATACTTAGCCAACTTAATAGGAAATGTTGATCCTTACAGGTGAATTTCCTTTTGCAAAATGTTTTGTTTGTGGGGAAATGGGACATCTGTCCAGATCTTGTCCTGATAATCCCAAAGGACTTTATGCTGATGGTGAGTACTGTTAACCTTATATGTCAGAAAAGGTGAGTTACAATGTAGAGTTGTGATTTAATTTGTACTCAATCAGTTCTTGAATAAGTTCTTGAACAAATAACAAAACCTTGAGAATTTTAATTTTTATCAAACTATTCTTTGTACTGGAGTTGATGTGTAATATGAGGATGTATTAATCAAATCAGACATAACTAAAGTGTGTATTTCAAGCATTGTGCTTTCAGCATCATTTGTGGGAGTAGGTTATAAATATCTACTTTTAAACATAACAGAAGTAAAGGGATTATATCTCAAGCTAATATAAGATTTAAAAAATAGTGTTGTGAATTTAATCACAGGCTAGCATACCATTTTGGATAGATGGGCTGGTACACATTCTTCAATATTTGTAGTAATTTTTATTTCTGAGTGTTTTCCTTGGTCAGTTGTCTAGCATGGGATACTGTAACTTTCTTGTCTGTAGCTCAGCTAACATATTAAGGTCCCTGAATAAAGTCTATGATCTCTAAAGCTTTAAGGAGGAAATTTTCTGGTAATGTGAATAATGTGCTCATGTGATAGCTGGTACCATCAGATTCTAGACATCTCTTGTGTGTCATGTCCTGGGTTCCATGGGACAAGTCCAGTGAAAAGGCACAGCTTTTGGAATCAAGCTGACCAGTTACAGCTCCAGTACCACCACTCACTAGTTGTGGGACTCTGGCTGAGTCATTTAATTTCTCTCATCTCAATTTCCTCCCTCGCCTGTAAAATGGAGATGACAAACTGTATCTCATGGACTCTAAGATGAACATTATTTCACATTTTCATGTCCCTGTACTCAGAATGTATCTTACCATTGGTGAGTGACATGTAATTGGCAGATTTTTTTTCCTGAGAGGTATGTAAAATAATTATAATCAATAGTGTATTAGATATGATGAACTATGGTATTTACCTCGAAGAGCTATGAGAATTAAAATATATTGTTCAAAAGTACCTCTTCTATTTCACTGACATCTACAACAGTAAGGAAGCCTAACCCTGGAAAATGCCCAAAGGTGCCTCTCAGTTTTGAACTTATGACACAGGTCAGATGACATGAGTAATGGGCAAAGATGGTTTTGGATGGTTACGCAAAATGACTAGGTATTTTTAAAAAGTGCAGCAAAGGGGCGCCTGGGTGGCGCAGTCGGTTAAGCGTCCGACTTCAGCCAGGTCACGATCTCGCGGTCCGTGAGTTCGAGCCCCGCATCAGGCTCTGGGCTGATGGCTCAGAGCCTGGAGCCTGTTTCCGATTCTGTGTCTCCCTCTCTCTCTGCCCCTCCCCCGTTCATGCTCTGTCTCTCTCTGTCCCAAAAA